CAAAATCAAAATCAAAATCAAATCAACTGCCAATTAGATTTGCAAGGCCAAATTTAGCACAGAGTCAAACAGGACCTCTCAGAGCTTGAACCGACCAGGACGAACACAAATGCTTGCTGCAAAAGCTCACGTCCCATTCGCTCCTCCTTTATGTCTTATGGGAGGGGCCAATCGTCTCCAAGCCTTACTCCTGAGTCAACCCTGTTTTCTTAACGGTTCTTGCCTTCTGCGCATGTGCACACTCGGAACAGGCTCCCGCTGTTCTTCTGCCTCAGTGATGTCCGACTCCGAAGGCAACTGATAACTGTCAGACGGCCTCGGCCCCCTCTCTGCCTCCGACACAGAGCCCTCGTCCGAGCCTTCCCCAGACTCCAGGACTGGCCCAGGTTCCTCCCCAACCTCCTCACTGTCCGAATCTGGCCACTGGCGGGCCACAACATTATCTTCTTGGGTGCAAGTCTCCAAGCTAGCCCTCTCCATGCACCCCCTTGCGGGCTCCACCACTTCCCCACCAAACAGGAAATCCTCCGGAAAATGGTTTCCACTTCCTGACTTTTGGATTCAAAGCAAACCGCCCCTCCATTCGTCCCTCTGGTGGAATTATTTCCCTCTGTCCCCCCCCCAAAAATTAATCTGAGATACAGGTAGTCCCCGACTTAACGACCATAATGGGGGCCAAATGTTGAGCGAGTGGCGAGCGATTTTACGACGTGGCAGTGAAGGGAATTGCCGCGGTCGTAAGTGAATCAGGCGGCCATTAAGCGAATCCGGCTTTCCCCCGTTGACTTGGCTTGTGGGAAGCTGGCGGGGAAGGTCACAAAATGACATTTGCGGTGCGACCATCGGTTGCCGGGCGCCCAAATCTTGATCACGTGACATGACCCTGCGGATGGTCGTAAGCGCGAGGAGAAGTTTTAAGTGGCTATTCCCAGTGCCGTTGTAACTTTGCTCGCTAAACGAATGGTTGTAAGTCGAGGCCCACCTGTATGCACCAGATCATCATCTTTTAACGACCCCCGTAATCCTTTACGGGGTGGAGTCTGGGCAACTGAATGGAGCTGAGTGTTTACTGGCCAGATGCCTTTCCTGTCACCGATGCAGAGTTTTATTCGGCAGATACATTCTCATTGTGCCCAGAATTTATTAATGTATTGATTAGTCGTGATTCATACAGCATCGGGCTCTTGTCTCTTTGCAGCCTCTGTAGCATCCCCTCGGAAACAACTTCCCTACGACCCCCCAGCCTCCCCCCGCTCTCATCTTCCCGTGCCATCCCCAGTCCGCGTCCACCCTGGCGGTGCGCAGCTTGTCAGAAGAACAATGAGGCCTCCTCCATCCTCTGCACCAATTGCGACCGGCCTCGGGGGTGTAAGACCCCCCAGAACCTCGGCATGGACGACGAACTGACCAGCCCGGGCCAACTGGCCAGAGGACGCTGGGCCTGCCAAACCTGCACCTTTGAGAATGAGTCGGCCACAGTCCTGTGCGCCGTCTGCGAGAGGCCGCGCCTAGCTGGGAGACCGGGCACCGGCGATGCCAAGCCCCTGATAGCCTGGGGGGAAGAGGGCGGATCCCAGCAGGAAGATGTGAGTATTGGGGGGGGGGGGCTTCCAAGAGGAAACGGTTTCTAATACAGGACTAGAATTCACTGTCGCCTGGTGATTGGCCCCAAAACACCCAGAGGGTGTTCGTGCCTAAGGCGGGATTAGAACTCGCCGTCTCCTGGTGATTGGCCCAAAGTCACCCAGATATTTTCCCTGTCTAGGCCGGGACTAGAACCCACTATCTCCTAGTGATTGGCCCAAAGTCAATCAGCCAGTTTTCATGCCTGAGGCGGGACTAGAACTCACTGACTTCCTGGTGATTGGCCCTAAGTCACCCAGATAATTTTCCTGCCTAAGGTTGGAATAGAACTGCCAGTCTCCTGCTGATTGGCCCAAAGTCACCCAGCCAGTTTTCATGCCTAAGGCGGGACTACAACTCCCAGTCTCTTGCTGATTGGCCCAAAGTCACCCAGCC